GAATAAGAATAAGAATAAATAATTAATAATTAATTAAATAATAATAAATAAATGATAATAATAATAATAATAAATAAATTATAAATAAAAATAATAATAATAAATTATAAATAAATAAGTAAATAATAATAATAATAAATTATAAATAAATAAATAATAATAATAATGATAATAATAATAATAAATTATGAATAAATAATAATAATAATAAATTATAAATAAATAAATAATAATAAATAAATTATAAATAAATAATAATAATAAATTATAAATAAATAATAATAATAAATTATAAATAAATAAATAAATAAATAATAATAAATTATAAATAAATAATAATAATAGCAAATTTAAATAAATAAACAAATAAATAATAATAATAATAAATAAATAATGAATAAATAAATAAATAATAATAATAAATTATAAATAAATAAATAATAATAATAATAAATTATAAATAAAAATAATAATAATAAATTATAAATAAATAAAAATAATAATAATAATAATAAATAAATAAATAAATAATAATAATAAATTATAAATAAATAAATAATAATAATAATAGATTATAAATAAATAAATAATAATAATAATAAATTATAAATAAATAATAATAATAATAATAATAATAATAATAATAATAATAATAAAGTAAATAATAATTGTAACAATTATTATTGTAACAATTTATCATCACCGAGCAGACCCTGCATTTTCGTATGTTGAACGGTTGAGTTCCCAATGAGGCTCGAAGATCTGGAATGTTTCCAGGGATTCAAGCTCACGCCATATCTCAAAAGTTCATGCAGTCGATCGCCAAAGGTATGACAAAAAAAGGTCGGTTCTTGCCATACAAACAGACATTTGTGCATAGTTTTTCTACCGATTCTTTGCAAGAATCAGATTAGACCCAAAACGGAAAACTTTGTCCACATCTAGACCGGAGCTGCACAATCATCACTTTCCAGTCTTGACAAAGTTCAACAGCGTTTCTGCGGCCTTGTGGGTAATGAATTCCTTTCCAACTTAAAATCCCTATCTCGCAGATGAAACCTTGCTAACCTCTAATCAGATGTTCGATAGAAATATATTCCCCGATTCCTCCAGTCCTGTCCCTCACACATACGACCCGCCATGCGACGTACACTTCACCTATCTTTATGTACATCATGTTTCATTTATAGGAAGACTCCCGAGGGGATGTTTCCCTGATCATTACAATCTTCAAGGCTAGGATCAATCGTAATCTGACTTACATATCCTCACAACATGCCCCTGTACTCAACCCTTCCACGCTTATTAATTAAGCCTTTTTTGTTAAGCCTCTACCTTGACTGGCTCTTGGGTCTTGTATTTGGTGCATAAACGTAAAGAAACGTCAGCAAAGTCCTCTTTATGGATTACCATCAGGTGTATCACCACGTTCTCCATGATCTCGTCCGTTCTCTGCTCTTTCAATGAACTTAACTTGAGAAATTGTGGAGGGCTAAAGTTTGAAAACTGATGGAAGAGTTGCAGGGCTGGTAGGTCTGTATAACACGATGTGTCACGACAGACATAAACCTCTGCACAGGACGTGACGAACTGGGAATTATATCAGGTCATCCCATAAGTTAGTCCGAATTTTACCTTTTTTTAAAATGAACGAAATTTAAAGAGTATTTTATAATGTCTAATGGAGCTGAACATTATTTTTATGTTCAGATGCATTTAAACTGATCAAATTTGATTTCAGAGAACAATAAAATTAAATTTTGGTTGATTAAAACCCTGCTAACATGGAAGTACCCAAGAATCATTTGAGGCACATAATCCATTATGAGTTCAAGAAAGGAATCTCAGCAGCCGAAGCGGCTAGAAACATTCACTCGGTTTATGGAGAGGAATGTGTGAATGAAAGAACTTGCAGAAGATGGTTTGCAAAATTCAGAGGTGGAGATTTCACCCTTGAAGATGAAAATCGAACCGGACGTCCAGTTGAGTTTGATGAAAAGCTTCTTGAAGCATCCCTTGAAGAAAATCATGCTTTATCAGTTGAGGAATTGGCAGTGGTTCTCAGCTCAAACCATACAACTGTTCATCGTCATCTTCAACAACTTGGAAAAGTTCCTAAACTTGGAAAATGGGCGCCTCATGAATTGTCTGAAAACCTCAAATCCCGAGTTGACATCTGCCCTTCTCTCCATTCTCGCCAACTTGCTTCTCCTTTTTTGGATAGACTTGTGACTGGCGACGAAAAATGGATCTTTTATCGAAATGTTAAGAGTCGTAGACAGTGGATTGGTAAAGGGGAAAGACCACTGCCACAGCCGAGAAGGAAACTTCATGGGCAAAAGGTACTTCTTTCAATCTGGTGGGATCGCCAAGGAATAATCCACTTTGAATTATTACCACCTAATGCAACAATTAATGCTCAAATATACTGTCAGCAATTAGAGCGTTTGAATCAAGCTTTGAGGAAAAAAAGACCTGCTCTAGTGAACCGAAAACAGGTGATGTTTCATCATGAGAAGGCGCGACCCCACACAGCAAGAATCACGTCACAAAAGATCGAAGAACTTGGTTGGGAGAAAGTTCCTCATCCACCGTATTCTCCCGATCTTGCTCCTTCAGACTACCATTTGTTTCGTAGCTTACAGAATCATTTCGAAGAAATAGCTTTTGTAACACAGGAAGAGGTTAAAACTGACATTTGCGAGTTCTTCGAATCAAAGCCAAAAGAATTTTACAGTAATGGAATTAGTAAGCTTGTTAATAGATGGAAGGAAGTCATAGATAATCAGGGAAAATACATTGTTGATTGAATCTGTAATTAAATGTAACATTTGGTCACTTAGTACTGAAGCTCACTAAACGGCGCCTCAGTGTCGACTGCATGCACGATCGGGGAGAGTGTCTGCTGACACGCGGATTTGGACGGGTTGCCAAGAGATATCAAGACCAAACAACCGACTGTCGGGGTATTCAGAATGGATGGATATTTTTCCGGACAGTACTGGCTATAAAACTCTTGATTGCCAAAATGTGTCTGATGTCAATTTACTCTCTTAGCACCGCGAAAGTTCAAGTAAAAATCGCTAGCACATGACGCACAAGTCGGCTAAACCATCACGAACAACGTCGATTCCCAAAGGTTTCGACACATACGGAAAGGAAACTTCGGGAACTTCTAGAAGAGGTAGTAAAGGAAAGTAAAAAACAAGAACTGATCATCAGTTGTAAGAAGGAAGAATGTGCGGTCGCCGAGAAGATGGAACAATCAAAGATGCAAACTACAGATTGGAGATTGCCCAAAATCGGATCAAGTACGAAAATTAAAATATCTGGGAAGGCCAGAGGGTGGAAAATATGACACTGAAAGCCGAAGATGCTTTCTATAAGTGAAAGATGCCTTCCAAAAGCGAAGCAAACTATGAAAGAAGAGGAAAATTTAGTTAGAAAACAAGAAAAGAGACCTGAACTGTTATCTAATATCAATTCTCTGTGACAGCGAACGCTGGCCGATCTCCTCACAGATGAAGAAGAGACTTGAGGCAACAGAAATGTGGTTCTACAGGAGGATGCTGAGAATACCACAGACTAAACATATGAGTAATGAGGAAATTTTAGCGAACATGAAATAAAAAGAAAGGTAAATGGAATGCCAGATAACACAAAAAAAAAACAAAAGCTGTTAAAGGTTGGATGAAATTCCTCAGTGTCAACGGCAATCCATCAGCATATCTGCATATTTAAAGACATGGGTATTCAATGAATTATTCTTCGAATTTGTGTGAGAAGGCATTGGATTCGGATTAAATCCGAAACAATTTCTGGTTTGTAAGAATATTTTATTTTTTTGCATTAACATTTCTTGGAGAATTAGCAACGATTTTTTTCAGATACAAATCCTACTATTTAACCCATAGCTGGGAGGAGGAGGTTGATTCATAAGTTTTCCAAGGGTATTTGCGCGTAAATGGATCTAACGATCGATAGATATTGAAGTATTAGGATGGACTAGACTCTGGAAGAATGACGGTGCCGAATACAAGTGCAGAAGATGGAAGCTGTGAAGAGACATGACCGCTGATTTTCTGAAGGGAGAAAAACTGCTCTGAATTCAGGACCGTGGAGAAGGCAAAGGGAAATCACTCCTCTATCTTCTCTAAAATGTTATGCCAATTCACAGATGATAAAGAGAAGGAAATTGTGGAGGGCCATGATCGCCTACTATCTGAAGGGAGAAAGATTACTCTGAGTTCAAAACTGGGGAGAATCAATAGGAAATCACTCCTCTATCTTCTCTAAAACGTCATGCCAATTCACAGATGATCAAGAGAAGGAAATTGTGGAGGGTCATGACCGCCTACTATCTGAAGGGGGGAAAGGGAGATGATAACCGCATCTTCCCAGAGAGTAAACAGAAGGAAGCCGAAAAGAGCCATGATCCCCTCTCTCCTGAAGTGAAACTAACGGAACTTCAATACCGTAGCAAAGGTAAGGAGAAAGAATTCTCCTATTTTACTCAGAATAATAAAAGTAAAATATAGATATATTTATTCGCCTCTATCGTGAAGGAAAAATAAAAATACAGAAGTCAGAACCTAAGATGTTATGGAAATTCCCGAAGATTACATAGAAGGATTCATTTCAACACTGTAAAAAGAGCAATGGGGAATCATTCCATTACTTTACGCAAAGATAATAAAAGGAAGCTGTGGAGAGTCGTGATCGCCTATGACTTGACGGGAGAAAGCACTGAATTCATATCGGTAGAGAAGGTATTCAGAAGAAATTCCAGTCTCTTTTCCAAGTCACGTCAGTCAAAGGAAGATAAATTAAAGGAAGCTGTACAGAGCCACGATCCCTTGAGAATTGAAGAGCGAAAACTTGAATGTGAAGACACTGAAAAAAAAAAGGTTGTTTTTTTTGGCGGGGGGTTAAGATGGATAAAATCGGAGCCATATTTTTTTTTTTTTTTGCGTTCAGCATCATTCGAAATTGTAACTAGATTAGATGTCGCTAGTGACTTTAAACATGGCGGACACGATAGATAGATAGATAGATAGATAGATAGATAGATAGATAGATAGATATATAGACAGATAGATAGATAGAGACAGAGAAAGATAGATAAGTAGATAAATGTGAACAGACTGAGATAGCTAGATATATACCTTGCTAGCTAGCTAGATAGATAGATGGAAACAGACTACGATAGATAGATAGATAGATAGATAGATAGATAGATAGATAGATATGATATGATATGATATGATATGAACAGAATGAGATAGATAGATAGATAGATAGATACAGAGAAAGATAGATAAATAGATAAATGGAAACAGACTGAGATAGCTAGATATATACCTTGCTAGCTAGCTAGATAGACAGATGGAAACAGACTACGATAGATAGATAGATAGATAGATAGATAGATAGATAGATATGATATGATATGAACAGAATGAGATAGATAGATAGATAGATAGATAGATAGATAGAGACAGAGAAAGATAGATAAATAGATAAATGGAAACAGACTGAGATAGCTAGATATATACCTTGCTAGCTAGCTAGATAGATAGATGGAAACAGACTACGATAGATAGACAGATAGATAGATAGATAGATAGATATGATATGATATGAACAGAATGAGATAGATAGATAGATAGATAGATAGATAGATAGATAGATAGACAGACAGAAACAGACTGGGATAGATAGCTAAATGGAAACAGACTGGGATAGATAGATAGATAGATAGATAGATAGATAGATAGATAGATAGATAGAAACAGACTGGGATAGATAGATAGATAGATAGATAGATAGATAGATAGATAGAAACAGACTGGGATAGATAGCTAAATGGAAACAGACTGGGATAGATAGATAGATAGATAGATAGATAGATAGATAGATAGATAGATAGAAACCGACTGAGATAGCTAGCTAGCGAGCACACTCTGTTTCCGTCAACAGCTAGATAGATAGCTAGATAGAAGGAGACAGAGAAAAACAGATACATAGATAGATAGATGAAAACAGATTGAGATAGATAGATAGATATATACACATTAGCTAGATAGATAGATGGAAACAAACTAGAATAGATAGATAGATAGATAGATAGATAGATAGATAGATAGATAGATAATTGGCAAACAATCGGTTGAGAGATGTGATTATTTTCAGGCTGCCAGACAAACATACATTTGTATATAGCTTTGCTTCTGAGTCATTTTTCAATGGGTGTGTCAGAGAGTCACTTTCTGATTGGTCACATTCTGGGTGAACAACATGATCAACGAATTAGCATATACAAATGGCTTGTCTTGTAGACAATCGTAAAAATAAATTTGGGGTTAAAAAGACTAGGAAAGAAAGAAAGAAAGAAAGAGAGAAAAAAAGAAAGAAAGAAAGAAGGAATATATGACAAGTAGAAAAGAAAGAAAGAAAGAAAGAAAGAATATATGACAAGTGGAGAAGAAAGAAAGACATGACAATTAGCGAAGCAAGCAAGAAAGAAAGAAAGAAAAAAGAAAGAAAGAAAGAAAGAAAGAAAATATGACAATTGGAGAAGAAAGAAAGGCATGACAATTAGCGAAGCAAGCATGCAAGAAAGAAAGAAAGAAAGAAAGAAAGAAAGAAAGAAAGAAATAAAGAAAGAAAATATGACAATTGGAGAAGAAAGAAAGACATGACAATTAGCGAAGCAAGCAAGCAAGAAAGAAGAAAGAAAGAAAGAAAGAAAGAAAGAAAGAAAGAAAGAAAGAAAGAAAATATGACAATTGGAGAAGAAAGAAAGGCATGACAATTAGCGAAGCAAGCATGCAAGAAAGAAAGAAAGAAAGAAAGAAAAAAGAAAGAAAGAAAGAAAATATGACAATTGGAGAAGAAAGAAAGACATGACAATTAACAAGAAACAAGCATGCAAGAAAGAAAGAAAGAAAGAAAGAAAGAAAGAAAGAAAAAGAAAGAAAATATGACAATTGGAGAAGAAAGAAAGACATGACAATTAAAGGAAGCAAGCATGCAAGAAGAAAAAAAAGAAAGAAAGAAAGAAAGAAAGAAAAGAAAATATGACAATTGGAGAAGAAAGAAAGGCATGACAATTAATGAAGCAAGCAAGCAAGAAAGAAAAGAAAAAGAAAGAAAAAAAAAGAAGAAAGAAAGAAAGAAAAGAAAAAATGACAATTGGAGAAGAAAGGAAAATATGACAATGAGAAGAAACAAGCAAAAGCAAGCAAGAAAGAAAGAAAAAAAGAAGAAAGAAAGAAAGAAAGAAAAAAGAAAAAAAAAAAATATGACAATTGGAGAAGAAAGGAAGGAATGACAATTAGAAAAAACAATTGCAAGCAAGAAAAAGAAAGAAAGAAAGAAAGAAAGAAAGAAAGAAAGATAGAAAATATGACAATTGGAGAAGAAAGAAAGGCATGACAATTAGTGAAGCAAGCATGCAAGAAAGAAAGAAAGAAAGAAAGAAAGAAAGAAAGAAAATATGACAATTGGAGAAGAAAGGAAGGCATGACAATTAGTGAAGAAAAGAAGGTAAGAGAAAGAAAGAAAGAAAAGAAAAAAGAAAAGAAAAAAGAAAGACAAAAGAAAAGAAAAGAAAATTGAAAGAAAGAAAATATGACAATTGGAGAAGAAAGGAAAGCATGACAAAGAAAGAAGCAAAAGAAAAAAGAAAAGAAAGAAAAAAGAAAGAAAGAAAGAAAATATGACAATTGGAGAAGAAAGGAAGGCATGACAATTAGTGAAGCAAGCAAGCAAGCAAGAAAGAAAGAAAGAAAGAAAGAAAGAAAGAAAGAAAGAAAATATGACAATTGGAGAAGAAAGGAAGGCATGACAATTAGTGAAGCAAGCAAGCAAGAAAGAAAGAAAGAAAGAAAGAAAGAAAGAAAGAAAGAAAAAATAGAAAATATGACAATTGGAGAAGAAAGAAAGGCATGACAATTAGTGAAGCAAGCATGCAAGAAAGAAAGAAAGAAAGAAAGAAAGAAAGAAAGAAAGAAAAAAAGATAGAAAATATGACAATTGGAGAAGAAAGAAAGGCATGACAATTAGCGAAGCAAAGCATGCAAGAAAGAAAGAAAGAAAGAAAGAAAGAAAGAAAGAAAGAAAGAAAATATGACAATTGGAGAAGAAAGAAAGACATGACAATTAGCGAAGCAAGCATGCAAGAAAGAAAGAAAGAAAGAAAGAAATAAAGAAAGAAAATATGACAATTGGAGAAGAAAGAAAGACATGACAATTAAACAAGCAAGCAAGCAAGAAAAGAAAAGAAAGAAAAAAAAAAAAGAAAGAAAAGAAAAAAAAGAAAGAAAAGAAAGAAAATATGACAATTGAGAAGAAAAGAAAGAAAAAATGAAAGAATTAAAAGAAAAATGACAATTGGAGAAGCAAACAAGAAAGAAAGAAAGAAAGAAAGAAAGAAAAGAAAGAAAGAAAGAAATAAAGAAAAGAAAATATGACAATTGGAGAAGAAAAGGAAGGCATGACAATTAGTGAAGCAAGCAAAAGCAAGAAAGAAAGAAAGAAAAAAAAGAAAGAAAAGAAAACAAAAGAAAGAAAGAAAATATGACAATTGGAAGAAGAAAGGAAAGAATGACAATTAGTGAAGCAAGCAAAGCAAGAAAAGAAAGAAAGAAACAAAAAAAGAAAGAAAAAGAAAAAAGAAAATATGACAATTGGAAGAAGAAAAGAAAGATATGACAATTGGAGAAGAAAGCAAGCATACATGAAGAAAAAGAAAGAAAAAAAAAGAAAGAAAAAAGAAAGAAAGAAAGAAAATATGACAATTGGAGAAGAAAGGAAGGCATGACAATTAGTGAAGAAAGAAAGAAAGAAAGAAAGAAAGAAAGAAAAAGAAAAAAGAAAGAAAATATGTCAATTGAGAAGAAAGGAAGGCATGACAATTATTGAAACAAGCAGAAAAGAAAGAAAGAAAAAAAAAAAAAAGAAAATAAAAAAGAAAGAAAATATGACAATTGGAAGAAAGAAAAAGACATGACAATTAGTGAAGCAAGCATGCAAGAAAGAAAGAAAAGAAAAAAGAAAGAAAGAAAGAAAATATGACAATTGGAGAAGAAAGGATGGCATGACAATTAGTGAAGCAAGCAAGCAAGAAAGAAAGAAAGAAAAGAAAGAAAGAAAAAAAAAAAAGAAAGAAAAAGAAAATATGACAATTGGAGAGAAGAAAGAAAGACATGACAATTAGCGAAGCAAGCATGCAAGAAAGAAAGAAAGAAAGAAAGAAAGTAAGAAAGAAAGAAAATATGACAATTGGAGAAGAAAGGAAGGCATGACAATTAGTGAAGCAAGCAAGCAAGAAAGAAAGAAAGAAAGAAAGAAAGAAAGAAAGAAAGAAAGAAAGAAAGAAAGAAAGAAAGAAAATATGACAATTGGAGAAGAAAGGAAGGCATGACAATTAGTGAAGCAAGCAAGCAAGAAAGAAAGAAAGAAAGAAAGAAAGAAAGAAAGAAAGAAAGAAAAAAATATGACAATTGAGAAGAAAGAAAGGCATGATAATGAAGCAAACAAGCAAGAAGCAAGAAAAAGAATGAAAGAAAAAAGAAAAAGAAAAGAAAGAAAAAAAGAAAGAAAGAAAGAAAAAAAAAACGATAGAAAAGATGACAATTGGAAGAAGAAAGAAAGACATGACAATTAACGAAGAAAAGATGACAAGAAAGCAAGCCAGAAAGAAAGAAAGCAAAAAGAAAAGAAAGAAAGAAAGAAAGAAAGAAAGAAAGAAAATATGACAATTGGAGAAGAAAGAAAGAAAAAATAAAGAAAGAACATATGACAATCGGAGAAGGAAGAAAGAAAGAAAAAACTTAAAGCAAGTGGATGAAAGAAAATGTATTGCATACAATAAATAGAATGAATGAACAGGAGAAAGAAAGAAATATGACGATTGACTAAGACGAACATACAATAAGAAAATAAGAAAAAAACTGGAAAACGGAAAGAAAATGAGAAAATATAACAAAGAAGAAGGAAAGAAAGAATGATATTACTATAGAAAAGTAAAAATGAAAAAAAAAGTAAACCCATAACAAATGAATATTAAACATAATTGAATAAGAATGTGTGTTATGTATAATATAAGAATAATGAAAAAAAGAAGTAATTGAAGACACTATAACAATTGTAGAAGAAACTAAGGAAGAAAAATGTATCAAGCAAAGAAAGAAAGAATGAAATGAGGAAAAAGAGAGAAAGAAAGAATGAAATAAATGCAACAATTTCCTCATAAAGAAGAAATATAAAACAATCAACAATGAAAGAGAAAATGAAAAAGAAAGAAATTTTACAATGCATAAAAATGGTCACTAATACGTAATGAAAGAAATACGAAGGAAAAAAAAAAGAATGAATGAAAACAAAGAAATTAAAAAGAAAGAAAGAATGAAACAAAGAAATAATGAAAGAAAGAAAGTCAAAACGAACAAATGAATGAATGAAAAAAGAAAAAAGAAAGAGAGAAACGAAGAAGCATGAAAGACAGAAAGAATGAAAGAAAGAAAAAAGAATGTAGGAAAGAAAAATGAAAGTGAAAGAAAGAATGACAGAAAGAAAGATTGAATGAAAGAAAGAATGAAAGAAATAAAGACAGACAGAATGAATAAATAAAGGAATGAAATAAAGAAAAGAATGAAAGAAAGAATAACACAATAAATAAATAAAGAATGAATGAAATGATTAACGAAAGAAAGAATGAATGAAAGAATAAATGAAAGAAAGAAAAAAGTAAGAAAGACAAAGAATGAATTTAAGAACGAAATAAAGCGTGAAAGCACGAAAGAATGAACAAAAAAAAACGCAATAAAGAAAGAAGAATGAATTAATGAATAAAAGAATGAAAAAAGAAAAAGAAAGAAAAAGAATAAGTAAGAAAGAAACTTTAAACGAAAGTTTATGGGTTATTTTTCTTTCTTTCTTTCTTTCTTTCTTTCTTTCTTTCTTTCTTTAAAAACGATAGTAAAAATGTATGAACCTTGGAACGAAATGACTCTGTACACTTGACAGGAAAGAAAGAAAAGACGAAGAAAAATAGAAAAGAAATGTTTAAGAGAAAAAGAAGAAAAGGAAAAAAATAAATGAAGAAAACGAAACAGAAATAATGAAAATAATTAGCAAATGGAGAGAAAGAAAAAGAAAGAAACAAACGAAGAAAGAAAGAAAGAAAGAAAGAAAGAATCAAAGAGAGAAAGATATGAACAAAGAAAATAATAAAGAAAGAAAGAAAGGAAGAAAGAAAGAAAAAAAAGAATTCCACAAGAAAGAAAGAATCTAAAATAACTAATAAAATCGTACTTTATTTGATAATAAAGATAGAATTAAGGAAATAAATGAAAAACCACGAGACAACTGAACGACATAAAACATTTAAATAAGAAAGAAAGAAAGAAAGAAAGAAAGAAAGAACGAAAAATATGACAAAATGAGTAAGAAAGAAAAAAGAAAGAAAGAAAGAAAGAAAAAAGAAAGAAAGAAAAATCATGACAAAATGAGTAAGAAAGAAAGAACATAACAATTGGAGAAGAAAGAAAGAAAGAAAGAAAGAAAGAAAGAAAGAAAGAAAGAAAGAAAGAAAGAAAAATCATATGACAAAATGAGTAAGAAAGAAAGAACATATGACATATGACAATCGGAGGAGAAAGAAAGAAAGAAAGAAAGAAAGAAAATATGACATAACAAGAAAGAAAGAAAATATAACAAAACGAGAAAGAAAGAAAGAAAGAAAGAAAGAAAGAAAGAAAGAACAGAAGTGACCGATAATCAAAATTATAAAAAAAATACATATCTATATAATTGAGTCCAGACAGCAAGACAAAAAAAAATGCAGTTAAAACGCGGGAAAAAAAAATTACATGGAGAGCCATAAAGAAAGAAAAAATATCACAGAAACAAAATGGAAAAAAAAAAAATGTGCTACGAATGATATTATCAGTTGAAAAAAAAAATGCGGGGGTGGGGAGAAAAACGCGCGTCCGAAAGGTTTAATCATGTTATCACGTAACTATGTCTGCCATGTTGCTTACAGAGACAAGACAAAAAAAATGGGAGTTAGTGGGGAGCAAATGGCGGTCGGAAGTGATTGGCGAGATTTCATTGCGCAGCAAATGCATGTGCAGGTCAGGCAGACATTGTGCTGCACCCGTACATCTGGTGCTGGCTTGCTGCACCGACAGATGCAGCAAGAGGGGATGCAACGTGCAATGCACCACCCAATGTATACAACTTTTATGACTAGACACTCTTATTTGGTGTGTTATGTCATTCAGCCGATGATCTAATGTTATCCCTGTTCTTGTCGGGAGGGGTAGAATTGCGGGTATTTGCAGACTCTTGCACAGCCTTATCGTCATAAGATACCAGGTTTTATATGTCCAACCTCCTCCGTGTACAAATAATAGAGAGAAGATATATTACTCTAAAACTATGAGCAACGCACGCAATCATTTTTATTAATTACATATAAGAAACACTATATATATATATATATATATATATATATATACAGTCCGCCCAAAAGAATGTATACACACTTCAAGAAAAAAAAAACTTGTCTTTCGTAATTTTATCAAATTGGCATAACATTGCCATACATAGACTTTATAAAAATGATGAATTTTTTCTATCAACCCTACCAGAAAGACGTACGATCTTATCTGAATGTGAATTTGAAAGATGCGCAGTAGATTTTCCCGCACATTCTCCGGGATGTTGGAGATCTCGATTGAATTTGAATTTGAATTTGAATTTTCAAATATCGCTATAAATTCTAGATTAGCTTTAAATCTAGGGACGGATTTGTCCATTTTAGGATATTTATATTATTTTCAGTAAGCCATTTCTTTGTAGATTTTGCAGTACGATAAACATCATTATCTTTTTGGAAGATCCACTCTGGAAGAAATTCAAGTTTTCCAACCGAAATTATTAAATTTACTTCAAAAATATTTTGATACACTGCGGCATTTATTCTACCATCTATAACTATTTTGCTAGTACCTTTTGCAGAATCTCCAAACCATGATGCTGACAGCACCAAATTTCACTGTTGGAACAGGTTTTTTTTGTTTGAAGACATCGCCATCTTTTCTTCATAGAATTACGTCCAAACAACTCAATTTTGATTTCGTCTGTCCATCATACTCTTTCCCGATACAATTTTTCCTTATCCTTATGTTTACGATTTAATTTCAACTTAGCATCCCTGTGTCTTTTCAATAACAGTGGAATTTTCTTTGGTGAGCATGACTTTAGATTGTTCGTATGCATTTCATTGCTTATTTTCCGTTTAGTGACACAGATTCTTGATGAAAGCAAATCATCCTGCATCACTTGAAGAGTAACCATTGGATTTTGTTCAATTCGATTTATTGCTTTCCTCGAAGATTTTGAAGAAATCTCTCGTGGAACATCTGTTCTTCTTTTGGTATTCAAGAATTTTGAATTTTTACTACTTGGAATTAATGAACTAATGGTTGTAAATGGAATATTCAGGTTTTCTTGTAATTTTTACCTTTTTTCAAAAGTTTAACAATCAGTTCTTTTTTTGCGAATTTGTCAATTCTTTACCTCTTGCCGTGATGATAAACTTCTTGAACGAATATCAATTACAGAATATTCTGTTTGTATTTTTAGGCTGAAAATAACTACTAATAACATTATATATTCTAGAATATTCCACTTGAATAATCTATGGTATTAAAGCAATCTGTCTATATCTCTGTGATGAGGTATTACATTATTACCATTATTCAGACTGTTATCCTCATCTTCGTTGCCATATTCACAACGTTTCGGCAGTTGTACGCTCCGGCCTTCTTCAGGTGAATTTCGAACCGAACCTATTATTTCATCCACTGGGGTAGATTGTTCTAGTTTCATGTGCCATGCCTCTTCTGGATGTCTCAGTTATTTCCCTTTAACTCAACTCTCCATGTTTTGGTTCACCACTGCTGTGGTCTGATATTGAACTCACAACTCTTTGCTTCTAGTTAGCGGATCTAACCAACGCCTTTATCCACTGGGCTGCTCATTTTATTGAAATTATATTGGTTGTTTTGGTGTACGTTGAGGGCCCGGCATTGTTGAGTATCATTTTGATTTTAGAATTGTGCTAATTTGCTCAAATTGTACTGTTACATATCGAGCACTTTGTAGGCACACTTGTGCACCTACGAATAATAGGTCATGGGATTCGCGATTACAGCGATATATATATATATATATATATATATATATATATATATATATATATATATATATATATACCAGGTGTAACAACAAAAATTGTGTAGCAGCAAAATTGTCCAATTGTTAGATTAAGTTCTGAGGCGTTGTATCTGAGACATGATTAAAGATATCTTATTGGAATTAACCGAGGTTTTTATAGCACTAATGGGCTCTATTGTGGACAATAAGGATGCATAATTATTCTCTAAGTTTAACAGAAGAATTGTGATGAAATCGATCATAAGCGAAAGTGACATGTTCATCATTAATTAATCATAGCTAAGGACTGGAAGCTCATGAAGGATTGAAATAAAGTTCAAATATATATAAATTATTCCAGGATCATTTTCCAACTTATTCAAGATGATCTTCGCCTTCTCTAACCTTCTGAGTTTGTGTCCTGGAGTAACAGGTTGCGTCACAGATTTTACGTACGATTTCATTTCCAAGTCTTTCTTTCACTGCTATTTGAACTGTTATAACTCAAACTCCTCTCTCCCGTGACAGTTGTCTTATGGATTGAGTTGGATCTTTTCTAATTGATATTTTTGGCTAGAAGTTGAAATGTTGATCCTTCTTTCTGTTCTGACCTCCTGATCCAGATTTCCTTTCTACTGGTCTCTCTTTTTAAAACTTATTCAGTGTTCTCGTGATGGTTCTTGAATGAACTCTGACGATGGAAGCCAGAGTATGAATGTTGGCCTGAATGATCTTTTTCCTCTCATAACTGCTCAGTTGAGAAGACAGTGG